AAAAAAAAAAAAATGTATTGTAATGTATTTTTAAAAAGATGAGCTGTTTAACGCGAGTGTATTTTGCCGAAAGATCTAGTGGCCTGTTCTTTACAATGGAATCCGTAGAAACAAATGTCAATGTCATTTATTGTTACTGTTTCTTACTATTTCACAAGTTTCATGATTTTGTGTAGAAAATATTAGTTAATAAACCGAAAATATGGTTAACTATTCGAATTTAGAAATGGCAGATATGCATTTTACATATGGGTATGCTAACGGTAATGCATTGGAAGCGCAAAGACTTTATGCTGAACAGTACCCAGAGCGTAGATTACCCCACCATACTACGTTCACAAATATTCACCAACGCTTGCGGGAACTTGGAAAATTTGAAAAGAGAAGTCATGACTGTGGCCGTAGCCGAGAAGTTAGAACTGAAGCTGTCGATGAAGCCGTACTTAATTTAATTGAGGAATCCCCAGAAACTAGTACCAGGAAAATAGCTCGTGTCCTAAATGTAAGCCATTCGGTAGTTTTTAGAATTTTAAAAGAACAACAGTTATATCCCTATCATCTCCAACGGGTGCAGTCGTTACTGATTCGAGATTTTTTACCACGTGTGGTTTTTTGTCAATGGCTTATTAATATGATCGGCCAAGCGCCGCAGTTCTTAAGAAATATTTTATTTACTGACGAGGCGAATTTCTCAAGAGACTGTATTAGAAATTTTCGTAACAATCATATTTGGGCTGAGGAAAATCCTCATGACTTTTTTGAAGGAAATCATCAGTATCAATTTTCATTAAATGTGTGGCTCGGAATTATCGACGATCATTTAATTGGTCCCTATTTTCTTCCACGACGATTAGATGGTGACTCATATTGTCATCTTCTCGAAGAATTACCTATTATTCTTGAAGAAGTTCCCATTCAAATTAGGCAACGTTTATGGTTTATGCACGACGGTGCACCAGCCCACTTTAGTATACGTGCAAGACGTCACTTGGATGAGGTGTATGCCAATCGATGGATAGGTCGAGGAGGATATGTAAATTGGCCAGCCCGCTCCCCTGACCTTAATCCTTTGGATTTTTGCATATGGGGATATCTGAAATCTTTGATCTACTCAAGGCCAGTTGAAGATATCAATGATTTGCGAAACCGCATTGTAGCAGGGTGTGAAACGATAAAAAATTCACCAGGAATATTTGAACGCATACGCAATTCTATGAGAACAAGAGTAGATGCTTGTATTGAAGCTGAAGGCAATCATTTTCAACATTTTTTGTAGATTGTATTGTCAATATCCGACAGATTTTTATTTTTTGTTACTGTTATAACATTATTCATCATTTGTTCACTTTTAGTCTAAGTTCCAAACTTCTTAGCCTAGTAGAATCATAGGTCAACTATTTGGTTGAGTGTTTTTTAATAAAATGTTATTTAATATGACAATAAATGACATTGACATTTGTTTCTACGGATTCCATTGTAAAGAACAGGCCACTAGATCTTTCGGCAAAATACACTCGCGTTAAACAGCTCATCTTTTTAAAAATACATTACAATACATTTATTTTTTTTTGTCATAAATCCTTAACTTTTCGAAGAAACTTGAAGAGATCAAAAAGTTAGTAAATGAATGGGGTTTTTTAGACATATTTTTTAAAAGGAAAAAATTTTATCGAAAAAAAAATTATAAGAAAAAATGTCATAGGGGTTGATTATTTCAACCCCTTACAAAAATAGTTCAGGGTTGAAAAAAATTCAAAAAGTGTAGTTTTATTGACAGATAATGTTCACCAAGTTTGGTTTCTTTAGCTTGATGTACGTGGAAGATAAAAAAGAAAAACAATTTTTTTTTGTAATTTTAGGAGGGGCGTAACTTTTCAGGGGAGGGTTTTTTCAAAAAATTTTATACCAAAGACCCCTATTAATTTTCATCGGAGAATCACCACTTGAATTTTTTCGGTGTTATTTAGATACACCCTGTATAGAGTAGTATGTCAGTACATATTTTTTAATTTTCTTTAGTTTCGTGATTGATATACATTTAAAGTGGATGAACATAATGTAAAATAACCCATTACGTTGTTTTGAAAATAGTTCATGCATTTAGTAATTTGGTCTAATAATAACATATTAAGTACTTATAAATTGCCAAGGAAAACATCCATATGGCATGTATCTATTTTTACTAACACATTCTGCTATAGATTATGATGAACTATGATAAAATTTCAATTATTTGGTGAAATATTAATATCTACATCAAAAGACGGAGAAGTGTTTCCAAATAATGGTTAAATATAAACAACTTTATTATTATTGCTTATAAAGATTTGTTCGAATTTTTAGTCAATTTCTAATGAAATATATTATTTTACACACAAACATGAAAATTGCAACATTTTTTAAAACTAGAAAATACAATTTGTACGTCTTAAATATGTATGGAACCAGTTTTCGTTTTAACAAAGATTTGGCTAGTTTTCACAATATTTCCACTGATGAAATCGTATGACCAAGGTATTGAAAATAGATTTACGTAGAAAGGTAACTAATCGCTTTTTCAGTTAACGAAACGAAAAGTTCTTTCAACTGCAATCTACAATGATTTTGTTTTTTATTGTTGTCGCTCCAAAAATATCTTAGTTAAGAAATAGCCGTGCTTTAAACTAAATATATTTATTAACTATTTACAGAAAATAAACGTAATAAACTCTCTGAAAATAATGTCTGCACATTATGTTCCTGATTAGATAGGTCTATAAATGCTTAGAATTACGTTGCTTTAAAGATTGCTATCCAAATGACATTCCAAGGAAGATCTATTGTGTCGACTGTTTTCAAAAAAGCATCAACATATTACGAGTACCTATTATTTATGTACAATTAGCACAAAATATTTTTGCTTTCTTTGAAAAACCTGCGGTATTTTAATTTACTCATAAAGCAGTGAAGCAACTGTTTAGGTATTAAATACTATACTTATACTTCATGTTAGCAGAATAGATATAAATACAGGGTGGTCCGAACTTTATACAGGAAACTTCGAGGGCAGATAGATCTCTTTAAAATAATATATGTTTGCCTTATAAACATAGGTCTGGAACGGCACCGTTTTAGAGATACAGGGTGTTGAATTTGTCAAAAAAAATTGATTTTTGTTTATATCTCCGGAATCTATTAACCGATCTCAATAAAATTTAGTACATATAATGTATGATAGTAGGCCTTATATTCCCTGAAATATGAGCTTTAAAGGTTGAACCAGTGGTGTACAACTGGACAGGGGTTACCCCCTTTTTTACAAAAAAATCTACGCCACTGTATTTTTTACATGTCATTGTAACTGAGTTATATTTTAATGAACAAAACACGTAAAAAAGGCGACTTTAATTTTTTCCCTAAGATTCGCCGTTCTCAAGTTATTCATATCAATACAATCCCCTTGTGGCAGACACTTCTAACGATAATATTACAAGAATATTTGTTTATGTTTAAAAGTAAGTGCAATTTGAAAGCACACCAACAAAATTATTTACACTCTTTTCTACACCACCTGTGAGGTAGTGTGCGATATAAATAAAAAATCATTTTTTTTAACCTCAACATCCTGTATCTCTAAAACGGGGCCGTTCCAGACCTATGTTTATAAGGCAAACACATATTATTTTAGAGAGTACTATCTACCCTCGAAGTTTCCTGCATAAAGTTCGGATCACTGTATACATAATAACTAGATTGCTGGAAATATCCAGGTACCAGTGAATATAAACACACTTCCTAAATCGATAAATATTTTGGTTTTTGCATAAATACACATGAATCACAATACGCTGTGTACATGGAACTGTTATTTTGGAGGATATTGTGACAGGAGGATTTTATGGAGAATAGTATCTATTAACGCATCAAAATCGGTCAAAACTCAATTATTGCCACGTTATTCTAGATCAAGAACAGAAACTTGTACCTATTGGACTACTTCATAAAAATTTTGAATTGATTATCATGTTGAGTCAAGTAATCAGAGCAGATTATTCTCCCAGAATTTCCTGGTCAAAAACCTTATAGTTTGAAACATTTAATTCAAAAAATTGATTTCCAGTAATTTAATCAAATTCTCTGCACAATATACCTTACAAATAAAATAATCATGAAACTAAAATCATAAAAGTATGAATTTGTGGAAGTCTTGAGCCTTAAACATAACGTTTTTTGCAACACCTTGTATAACCTCAATGCTATTATATTGATCAGTAGTTATTTATTAGTTGCACAGTTTTAGTTTTTCTCTGTATACTGTGAGAAAATTAAAAAAAATAACCTAAAAATGTTTAAGTAAGTTTTGATAATGAAAACAAGACAAATTTCAAAACTATTTTGAAGTGTATGCTATGTGTAGTCTCTTTGTCTGCTTTTCTTCAGTGACATTTTTAGGTTAATAAAACTAATCCTTTTGGCGCAAGACTTTGTTTAGTTTATTTTTTCACAGAAGCAAAATACCCAACAAACAGAGGAAAAATTCAAATTTATTTTTATAAAATTAATGCTTCCATAATTTTTTTTAAGTTAAGCTTTATTTTCCAAATTCAGTACACATTATTGGTAACAAACTACATTTATAAAAAGAAAAATAGATCCTTTCATTCTTTATCTTCATTTTGAGGATACTAAAATGCAATTCGCAAGAAATATAATTCGTTTGTACGTATCTAAAGATTAATTTCTTACGCTATAATAAAAAACAAAATATACCTACCATTGAAAAAACCGCTGTATTATTTACAATTATTAGATATCAGCATGTTTGATAACGCGTGTTCAAGTAAGCCCCACCACTTAGATTGGCTGTGATACCTGTGTAAATAGTAAATAATAAACAATAACAAAAGTACGTCGACACAGGACTATTGCCTCGCCACGCAGCGTCTCTAACGCGCAGCATCTGCTCATCTGAAGTGGGAGGACACGTAAACAAAGCGCCTTCAAACTATAAAAAGCTGGCGCGATGCAAAATAACAAACATTTGACTTAACTCGCTCAAAAGTGATACCAAAGGTGCATGTTATCTAATTCGTTCGTTGGGTCAGTTTGAGTGCTCCAGAATGCGTCCCCCAAGCCAGTACAACCAGGAAATCGCCACGGAGGCCGACAACGAAGAGCCCGACCCCAGGTTGGTGTCGATGATGATCTGCACGAGGTTGGCAGGAAGGGCTGTGATAAGGGTTGTTGGACGGTGCAACGAGGCGAAAGAGAACGAAAATCTCGGTGAGTTAGTGCGCGACTAAGTCCAGTGAATTGTGCGGTGGATTCTCAGTGAAAAAAGGTGAACACTTTTGAGAGGATAATGCAGATTAAAGGAATTACTCACTTGAATGGTGAAATGGACTATCCCGACACTTTTCTTTGGACTAAAAGCGTCCGGAAGATCCCACCACTTCCAATTCTCGATTAAAGAACGATATTCACATTCAACAATAAAAATTAACACATTTTTCAAGTATTAAACCATTAATTTCTTAAAGTACAAGGAAGAGAAAAACATGTCTTAGCGATTCAAAAACTATGCAGTAAAGTTGAAATATATTTGAAACTGAGCCTGATTTGTTGGCCAAATTAACTAAAATCTGTATTGTTCTGCAATCTCTCAAAAGACGTTCATTCTCCAAACCAAAATGTACACATAAAAGTAACAGAATCTATATACTGATTACAATTTACAATTTATTCAAAATGTTCCAAAATAAAACCGATGATTTCAGATGAAAAAGAAATGAAGAAAATATAATATAATAGGTAATTATTCCTTTGTATTTGGTTTAGTAGCATTTCATTTTATGTTTATATTATCAATTATCCAAAGAGATGGTTATAGCTTAATGATAAAATTCTATCGTGTTTGGAAAAATCTAATCTTTTGTACCTTTCATATTCTCAAGTAAATAATTAAAGTTATCTTTTGTTTTCTCACATAGACATAGTCGCAATTATCATTATCAATTTATGTATAAATTCGTGATTGATTATTTTATAGTTTGGGATTAAAATTCTTAACTTTAAATTGACAAACATTCAACACATTATGCTTCCTAGTAAGTTCCACTTGACATATGCAACGGTTTAATTATTATTCAGAATAAATTTGTATTCAATATTTTGCGTCAAAAATTTTGAACCTTGAGGAAATGTTTTAATTTTATTGACGTCGGTGGCCATGATTTTATATCACTGTTTCATAAACCTTTTGCCATTTTCAGGAAATAAACTTTCTTTTTAATCGTAATATAATAAATAATTTACGAAATATCTCTATACGAATATTTAATAATTTGTATATATCTCTAGAGTAGAAACGGTTTTTGAAATACTTATTTTAGGATGCTTTAACAAAATCGTTTGCCATCTTTGTAAAACATTATCAGTTTATTTCTACTTTCATTATTATTTATCACAATCGGTGTTTTCAATCAAAATATATTTTTTTATTCTTTTGTTGTGAATAGACAATTGATATCTAGTAGTGAATATTCTAGATTTTTTTTAATAAGTACCTCACCAGTATATTTTTTAATTTAGCACAAATTATAAATATGATTTGAGAATTTATAGTTGACAAATATATGTACTATAAGATTTTATTTTGTTGGTGTAACTGGTCCAATCCTTAACTACTTGATATATCCATAGGAATAATAAATATCCATTAATTCTCCATATAAATTAATCCAGCTCTATCTTTGGACTTACGTAACATGATTTTTTTAAAATTTAATTGGATATTCTCCCTGCTGGGAACCAGTGCGTAAAAATCCTATACTTGTAAGCGTGAAGTAAATCCTGATTACCGGTCAACCTCAGTCTCGCCATAAAAGGACTATAAAGGACAATCGTATCGACATTCAGAGCAAAATAACAATTCAATACTATTTATGGCCTAAACAGGAAAACATCAGGCCAAGATCGCGTACTTTATTCAATAGATATTTCCGTGCATCCACAAAAGCTATTTTACTCAGAAATTAAAAACAGTTTTCAATTTATACATCATTCTGCTTAATATCAGTAAATACTGAATAATTCGAAAACTGTTAATTTCTAAACATCCAAAAAAATTTGAAACTTATCTGATATTTAAAAGTATGTTAAAAAAGTGTTTCGTGACCCTTATTTTAGGAAATGTTACAGATTATTTTAAAAATAACATATTGAGTAAATAATACGTTTTTTCAACTAGATACTAACAATCATTTATGATAATCACATTGGCTGATGCACCTAATCTTCTTTTGTTTTTCCGCATAGGTATCTAAAAAACGCGCATATGTTTCATACATTTATTGTCCTGATTTCATTAAGATAGATATTTTTCTGTGGCTATAAAGGTATTATTTATACGAGATAAGAAATAACAGGCACTTTCGATTCTGCATCTCAAGTATTTCAGAGGTAATTTTAAATTTAAAAATTGTGGCACCTAAGTCACATTCAAGAAAATAACCACCCACTGGATAAGATGGACATATATTCATAGGCATTTTACGTACTATTGACGTCATTGAAACTATTATGAGATAAGTAATAATGGGTCATATTAAAATTGTTTAACTACCTAGGTACAGTTAGTAATGTTTACAGTTTTTTATTGCATAATTAAATTTGTTAGAAACTATTTTGTTTTCCGCAATCACAATAAAATAACGATACCGCTACTTTATTGTCTGTTACACGGTGGTTCACTTCCTGGTGAAACTGAAAGCTGTTGAAATAAAAGTACTTCGTAGCGATGAAACTTTGTATCGGACGTGAATTGCGAGTTTATGTTCAATTCCCAAACAAAAAAAATGAATGTTTTGATAGTAATAATTTTATAACCTTGCATTAGTCTCCATAAAACTTCGCAGCCTTAGTATATCTCAAGCACTTCAATATTATTTGTATTCTTTAACAAAAATTAAGTTATAGTTATTTCCAGTTTCGTTAAATTCTTTAAAAAAAAAAACTATAAAATGCGTTACCTGTGTCGCATGACACTATATATTCTACAATTTTTATAATATACAACATAAGTTCGAGATATTTTTGCAGATTTGATAAAATAAGAAACATCAGATAAGTACTCGTAGTTTGTGTTTATATACATCAGCTGATGGATCTAAGTATATATATTCTGCGTTTAACCGGAGAATCCTGGTATTTTAGAGGTACCAACCTGCGGAAGTAAGATCGAGAATGTGCCTCTACTGTAATTAAACGGTTATTTTGGGACACTGCTCACCAGAAACTCTCTATGTGTGATGCTGTCAAGACTACTTGGAAATATACTGTATCACCATTGACCGTCGATGTTTCAAGAAATAAATGTTATTGTTATTATTAGTAGGTACCTAGTTTTTGCCTCACATATTTCCAAAGTTAAAACTGGCAAATAAAATTAAAGATAAGACGAAAGTCTTCAAGGAAAAATTTACGCATGTTTCGGACGACAAAAATGAACAGCATGGCGTTTTTGCATAAAATACTATCGTTATTTTGCAAGTAACAAGCATGAATTGGGGGTCCAGACCCCGTCGTACGTCAAATTCATCAACCGGTGAAAAATAGAACAGCCTGGTTACAAGCTAGTTACTTACGATTAAAAATAAACGCGATACAAGGCAAGACGGAAATAGGTAGTTCATAACATGCGCCAGTGATTCTGTTGCTCGCATCGCAACGCAACTCGTTTCACTTTTCACATTGGAATACCTACCTGAGTTAGATTAAAATCATGGCCTCCGCTGTAACACGAGTGATTCATAGGTGCGAGGATGCACAGGAAAATCAAAATCTGGGTATAAATTTGCAAAAACCCTGCTAATTTTGTTTTAAATACACGTTACTAACCACTATGCTTTTCCTGTATTTTTTTTATACTCGTTTCCTTTGCTGACAAGGTTGTTTATTGATTTTTGCCTTCCATAAAGAGTAAGGCATTAGAGCAATGCAAATTTGATAGGTATGGGACGAAACAGCCAAACGAAAAACTATTCAGTTTGTGCAGGAGGTAACTTTCCCATAGCAAAAATACAATATCAGTTTTAAGGTGACTTTTATAGTTAAACTTTCTTGAACCCAGCCAAGTATTAATTCTTATACTACGAGGCAAATTGAAAAAATAAAATGATTACAGTTTAAAACTGAATAGAATGATTGTTAGAAAAAGGAAATATATGTATGTTTGACCTAGGTATCTCAATAAGTACCTACATGCTTATTAACTGATTTCATCTTTAATTATCCCATGCATTTTATAAAATTAAATGAAATTCTGAGAAAGTCGTGGCATATGGCGAGTGGAACAAATAACTGGGCTTAAATGTTAATTATATTTTCTACAGGATTCAGTTAAACAAAGTACTTAGGTATATACATTTAAAAGTAATCAAGTACAAAGATAGTAAAAGTAGAAAGCAGAACTTTTTCTTAGTTTTAAGTATACCTTAAAACTAATAAGAACAATTTAGGTATTTATACACTTAATATTAAGTCCTTTCGTTTCAGATCTCTCGAACTGTCAGTTGATGCAAGTGCCAGATGCGGTGTACCACCTCATGAGGCACACCGAATTAAAAACCTGTGATCTAAGTGACAATGTGATTACCAAGATACCTCCAAAGTTCGCAGCCAAATTCAACCTCATAACAGATCTTAACTTATCACACAATCAAATGGCTAAGTTGCCTGACGAATGTGCGGAGATGGGCAACCTGGAAAGGCTGGATATATCACACAACACATTCATTTCCTTACCAAATTGTATATTTAAGATACCAAAACTTCGATTTTTAAATGCCAGTAATAATCACATAGTTGGTAAGTGTTTTGATTTTGACATTGTTGTACAAATAAATCTGCTTCCATTCACGTTCATACATAATTTTTATTGTATAATTTCCTTTCCAGATGTAGAAATAGAGTGTCTAAATGAAGCTCCATCGTTAGAAACAGCAGATTTTACCAATAATCCTCTAGCACCTAGAATTCACGACCAGTTGTCCAATATAACCAAAATTAGGATATCATTATCTCTGAGAGAGAAAGAGGACTGGGAAGATCTCACTATATAAGTTTAACTCCTCCTAACTGCCATTTTACAAAGAATCGAAATAATTAAAAATAATTTGTTTCCTGTTTTAAGTTGGGACACTATGTGCAATATAAAGTGATATATTTATAAATAGAGAAATTTTTGCTGTAAGTCTGTTAAGAAGCGTTTCTCTAAAAATCATTTTGTATTAAAAAAAAACTAATTGAAATTGATATTTTCAAATGGGGAAGAAACGTTTTATACAACAGACTGTAATTTATTTGTATATAACTGAAGAATAATGTATTAGTAAAATATGACCTATGTATCATGTTATCGTAGCCCACAGGGCAGAATGAATATTTGAAGATTTTGATACAATTTTGTACTTTACCAAAAATATGAAAAAAATACTCGTGCCAAATTTTCCTGTTGGTACCTTTCCTTCAATTTTGTGATACATATGGGCATTTTAACTTATCGACGAGCTATTTTTAATTATTTTCAAGTATGGTAGCTCATCCTATGGGTGCTGATAGAAGACCTATAGATTTTCTAGTGAATTAAATAAAAGTATTTGTATTTTTATAAGCTGGTATAATATACCTAAACGTAAGTAACTTTTCATAAAATTACTAATTTACTGGTACTTATTTTCAAGTACTCAATTGTGTGACAATTTTTTTGTACTGACTTCAATGTATTATAAGTGTTGTTGTATTATTGTTCATAATTGTATTTGAATTTTGTATGCATTTGACATTGAATGGCCACCATCTAGTCATATTGTGATAGGGATGCATAATGTCCTTCTTTGGTGTCTGGATGTTCCACAGAAAAAATGTCAAATAAAAAAAATAATAACAACCTGTTTTATTTTCCTAAATTAACATACCCTCTAAAATACAACAGATCCAATATTTAAAATATCACAAATAATAACTTTTACTTGCGGTTTATTGATAGAATGTGTTAAAACATTTATCTTTGATACAAAATTAATATAAAACTACTAGAAAGCAGGAACAGAAAAAGGAATAAACGTGATTCTTTGTCATTAACTTTTTAAAAAAAAGTTAATTTTTTTTATTTAAAATTTGTCTTAATGTTTGTCAGGTTACTCGGTTACTAAAGTAGGGAAAAATAAGAAATATTCTCTATAAAGGGTACATAGCCTTAAATACTTAATACAGTGCTATTTTTTTAAACCTGACAGGCCAACTTTTTTATTTTAAGGATAGACTAGTACTTCCAAATGCAAAGTTCCAGGAAATAACATGATTAAGAAAAATTTACAAATAATTCTTTCCAGTGTTGCCAGATTTCTGCAGTAGTTACTAAAACGATATTTTTTTAAATGTCGACACCATATTTTTTTAACATAATTTGACAAATGTTTAAATTCTAAATAAAAAATGTTATGTTACATTTATTTATTGGAGTAGCCGTTTTAGAACAATCGGAAAAAACAATGGAAATAATTTGCAGTCATTTTCAGGGTTACTTATATTTTATATCTCAAATAAACCTCAGTTAATGTTTCTGTTTGATACTTAATTTGATAAAAACATGTTTAATTTAACTTTATGTGCAATGTAATTTCTTTTACACCCAACTTTTTATTTTCATACTTCCAAATGCAAAGTTGTAGAAAATAACTTTACTAAGAAAAATTTACAAAAAATGCTTTCCGGTGTTGCCAGATTTCTTAAGTAGCTGCTTAAACAATATTTTTTTAAATGGCAAAACCGTATTATTTTTTACAAACAAATTAAACACTTTTTTATCAAATTAAGTGTCCAACAAAAACATCAACTGAGGGTTAGTTGAGATATAAAATATAAGCAACCCTGAACATGACTGCAGATTATTTTCATTGTTTTTATTGATTGTTCTAAAACGGCTACTCCAATAAAGAAATGTGACATAACATTTTCTATTTGGAATTTGAAGGTTTTTCAAATTATTTTAAAAAATATGAAATTGCCATTTAAAAAAACATCGTTTTAGTAGCTACAGCAGAAATCTGGCAACACCAGAAAGAATTATTTGTAAAATTTAATGAATAATGTCATTTCCTACAACTTTGCATTTGGAAGTACTAGTCACTTCAAATAAAAAAGTTGGCCTATGTCATGTTTTAAAAAAATAGCACTATATTACTGACTGTGCTCAAGAAAGTTCCGTGTATCACACTTGCGATTAGGTGTTGTCGAAAATTGGCCATATCTGCTGATATTGATATTCGAAATAATTTTAAATCTTATGATAGATTTCTTGGTATATTTATTTCGATTTAATTCTAAATTCGTCAGTTGCATGTTGTCAGTTCTGTGCTATATCGTAAACATTAATCCGGTCAAAATAGACCAAATAGTGGTAAGTTTACAATAATTCGCTTAGAGCTAAATATTGGTATAGGTCTTTGGTACACTATTATTTCAAAAATGTCAAAAGTCCCCACCAATCCCATGCGTGCTAAAAATGTATTCAGGGTCAAAGGTCGCAAATATCGATTTTTTGCATTTTTCTCGCAAACGGTAAGTGTTATAAAAATAGATCAGACAAAAGTTGTAGATCATATAATTGTCTACAAAAATTTGCCTCAATACTTTTTTCCTACGAATCACCATTCTTGAAGTATCACCATTTCAAACAGCGAAAATACCAATATGCACACGTACACCCCTTATATACATCATTGGACGTTTAATGTAAGAAACAATTTTCGTCTGTTTAACTAATACATACAAACTTTACGATTCTGAATGAATACACATTCAAAACTTACATCATCAATGGAGGATATCTATTACACCGCGTTGTATGGGACCGAGAAGAAACATTTAACGTTATTTTACATATACATTTTGGTCATAGAGTGACTAGTGTTTGATGGTTATACTGATTATAAGAAAAATATTAAAGCTGCAGAATAACATCATTGAACTACAAAAATATCTTCATCTTCTGATGTCATTTTTGATCAATTTATGATAGTTCCAACAAATCAACAACAATTTCTTGCAAATACTCACAAGTCTCGTTTCATTTCAATATTATGTGAAAAATTTACAACTGCGAACATTGTAGTAAAACAAGCTGATAATGATGCTGATGCCAAAATGTCAAAATCATATCATATTTTTACATGCAATAACTGGCTGCGGTACTACATCAGCAATGTTCAGATGGGGTAAAAGTGGTAAAACATCAATATTTAAATTGTTTGAAAAACGTAATGATTTAATTGATTGGCGCAGAAGTATTTAAAAAGATTGACTCTTCTCCAGATGTCATCATCACAAACGGGATTCACTTTCTACTTGCTGTATATGGAGATCCAAAAAAAATTTGATTGTATAGAGAAGTATAGATAAGTTTTGTAAAAAATATATGGAAAAATAAAAGAGTACAATTATCTTCCTCCAACATTTGCTTCTGCTTATCAACACTTATATTGAGTATACTATCAAGATCAAGTGTGGCTAGGCAATCAACTAAACCCAGAAGACTGGGGTTGGAAATTAATGAAAAACATTTTGGAGCCAACAGTTCATAGATATCCAACAAGAGGAAGAAAATGAAGGTGAAAGCGAAGAAGACATTATTGTTGAAGTAGCATTTGAAGATTATTATGTCAGATTAAAATTTTCCTGAAATCAGCAATAATTCGTTCCAGTTTAATCATAACTAATAGTACCATTTTTACTGAATAGAATATTATCTTATAAAACTGAACCACAAAACATCATAGAGTATGCTTAGCGGGGAAACCACATTAAAAAACACGCAGAGTATACTACCTCATAGGTGGTGCGGAAATGTGTGTATATCATGTAGAATGCGACTTCTTCAACTTTTGAAATGGTGATTCGTAGAAAAAAAAAGTATTGGGACAATTTTATGATCTACAACTTTTGTCAATCTATTTTTATAACACTTACCGTTTGCGAGAAAAATGCAAAAAAAAACGATATTTGCGACCTTTGACCTTGAATACATTTTTTAGCACGCATGAGATCGGTGAGAAATTTTGACATTTTATTTATAGTAGAGTACCAAAGACCTATACCAATATTTAGCTCTATGCGAATTATTGTAAATTGATATGTCTATTTTGACAGGATTACATGGAATTAATGCTAATATGGTTGAAACTGACATTAACTTTCAAAGTTAATGACTGTAATAAAAATAGGAATTTTTTTTGTCTAGTACTTATTTACTTTTGAAGCGGTGTTCATTTAAATTTTCGCAAGCTGTCACTGGTCTTTCCCTACCATTATTAAATTATGAGATTTATTATTTATTATTATTATTATTTATTTATTATTTATTTATTTAAAATTAGATCCATGTGAACTGATTATCATACAAAATAGGATAACTGGTTTCTAATGTTAATGTTCCCATAGTTGTATTGATATTTTTTGCTAATATTAGACTTAAGGACAAAATGCAATTTTAAATTGCTCACTATTGAGGCAATCACCTAATGTGTTATTGAAAACCAAATGCATATTCGCCGTTTTCCTTAGTCACTAACCTTAAAAAATCCATGCAGATAATGACATACTTCATTTATTATATAAATTTTCTATCTACGAAATAAATACAAAGTATCACATGACGTACCAAATCTGCAACGTTCTATCATCAGTAAGTGTAACTGCTTTTGAATAAAGTCACTGACACATCTGCTATGAGTATAGGGATCAATACCCAAAATGGTAATAAAACGTGATACAATTGCAGATTAAGATGCTTGTACTCCAACTTCAAACATAAAGTTATTTGTGTGGCAATTTTTAAGAACACCACTACAATTAAAAGTATGTTTTTGTTCTTGAACAAATTCTTTATAGTGTCGTGCTTGCAACGCAGGGATATGTTGAACAGGGCATCAATGAGTAAGATTAGATCATAAACCCACATCGGCAAGAATATAAGGAACCAGTTCCAGTGGATTCGGGCTTCTAGTCGTAAGCACAGAAGGATGAAGAACATAAGCAAGATGAACCATGTGAATAAAGCTCGGTGCATAACCATTTTGAATCTTTATTGTGGGATTCAACATTGTAACACCTTAATCTGGAACAAAAACAACATTTAGTTTTCTTGAAGTATATATGTAATATGCTACGTACCTCTGAACTGAAATATGTCTTCTACATGTTACAATAAGTTAAATCATAATTATCTTGTAAATTTGATTAAATGGTGTGATTATATTTACGTGACCCTTGTTTACAATAAGGGTTTTTTGGCGAGCCAAACCACATCAAACCCGGTTAGCTCGAGTTTGATTGTGTTAAGAGTTTGAGTTAACATTTGACAGAACTCGCAAAAATTCTTTTGGTTTGGATATCTAATCAATAATGAAATCGTAACCTATAATCTATGATAGTGCTCGTAGCTCAAGTTGTTTAATTATTTCTTATATACTATAGTTGTTATTCCTAATCTGAAATGCAGATCCATGAAAGAACGTTAATGTATGGTTATTAAATCAAAATGGGTTTACCTTGTTCACAAATATTATCTATTCAAACGCAAATGTATCGTCTAAAAGGAAGTTAATAAAGATCTATACAGTACAATATATAAAATGCATATTTACCATCTAATAAACGATTAAAGTTATTTGGATCCTCGATTACTATTTTTTTATTATCAATTTCAAATATTACTTTGTATTTTTTGCAGTGAATCCATTACCAAATTTTTTTATTTACAACTTAACCTATCCAAACCTCTAAAAAAACGAAGTAGTGACTACTAGGTACGAAACAGAAAATACATAAACAAAGATAGAAATATTAACTTAAGATCCAAACCAACCCACAAGTCCGGTTTGATGGTTA